ATTATAATAGAATTAATAAGACTTTACTTAAGGCTATTCTAATATAAGTATATTTAAATATATTAAGAATATGCTAGTAACGTGTTTTAGCTTCTATAAGTAAGACTTCTAGAATATAGAGAAATATAAAGCAAAAATAGTCTATAGTATCTACTATAAGAATAGATTACGCTATAGCTATATATAGAGGTACTTTAAGGCTATAGAAAAAGAGAGTAAGTCTACTACATGCAACGTGTTTTATACGCAGTTTTATTAAGTTTAGAGTAGAAATTAGAGTACTAGAACCTTATTATTATTAATAATAATAATAGTATCTTAGAGTAGGCTAATTTATCTAGTTTTATTATATAGAGTAGATAACTAAGAGGCAGAGGCTGTAGGCGCTCTTCTCTAGCCCGCTCTTCTCTAGCCTACTCTTCTCTAGCTTACTTCTCTCTAGCACTAAAAGCTAGCCTAGAGTAGGTCTACTATATTACGTTCTTATTACGTTTCTAATATGCTCTTAGGCCTAACTCTTCTTAAGCTCTAAGGCAGTAGGCACTTAAGAGTAACTAGGCTATTATAGAGAGAAGAGCGCTTTTAGAAATTAAAAAAAAGAAGATAGAGCTATAGAAGTAAAGGCTGTAACTAGAGAAATATAAGATAGAACTAGAAGAGCGTAGGTAGTAGCTTTAGAGAGATAACTCTAGCTAAATTATACTATAAACGCGTTCTAATTGTAATCTAGTATAGTTACTATATATACTAGAGTCTATAGACAGAATACTAGCTAGTAGAACGTAATAGAAATACGTTATATACATAATCTAAGCCTATATTAATCTTTACCTAATATAGTAAGGCGTAATAAATTTTCTCTTGCTAGCCTAGCCTCTTGCCTTTCTTTAGAGTTAAGCGCCTACCTACTACTATTCTTTCTCTCTCTACTTTCTCTTTTTACTCTACTATAGAACTTAAGACTATATATTAGTATATAAGTCTTCTAATAACGCGTTTCTAACGTAATCTAATTATATTTAGAATAACTATCTATAGTATAGCTAACTTAGTGTTCTTTCTTAAAAGATACTACTATTTAGTAAACAAGATAGAAGTAGGTATTACCTTATCTACTAGAGAGAGATCTTCTATTGCGTCTACTATTACTAGCTTAATAGGCTGCTTTGTAGTGTAAGTGCGCTAAAATTATATATAGAACACGTACTTATAACGTTATAGTAGTAGTTTAGTAACTATAGTGCACTAGTAAACTACGTTAAAAGATACTACTCTAACTACCTAGTAGCGCCTGTACTTATAAGGCAATTATTAATAGAGTAAGAAAAAGAAGTAATATTCTTCTTTAGAGGCATTATTTTACTAAGAGACTCTACTCTTAGAGTATTTGCAAAAGATCTACTAGAATATATTTCTAGCGTAATTCTATTATATTTACTAGCTAAGGTGTAGGCTAAGGTATAGTATAAAGCACTACTCTAGCTAAACTAACCTCTACTACTCTAAGAACGCGCTTCTCTAGACTTAGACTATAAGCTTCTATAGGTAGATAGCTTTAAGTATAATATCTTACTATAGAGTAAAGCTAAAGATAATATAAACGTATCTACTATATATTTTATATTAACTCTACTAGCTACGCTTCTAATAAGAGTAATATATAAGAGAAAGAGAGATAAGATATAGAAGAAGACTATAGAGACTTTAATTTCTATTCTACTCTATAAGTCTACTAACTTAAAGCGTAAGTAGAAGAAAAGTAATATATATATCTTCTCTAACGCGTAGTAACTATATTGCTAATATATATAGGTAAATTTAAATAAGGTTAGACGCCTACTTTTAAACTAGAAGCTTCTAACCTAATACAAGACCTATAAATTAAAGAAGAGAGATAGTTAGTAAACCTATCTCTCTAGTAAACGCGTTACTTACATATTATAGAGTATTGTCTAGAAGTCTTCTACTAATTAAGAAGATACTTTACTTTTCTAGATAGATAGTTAGCCTCTCTTTTTAATATATTATTATAATATTATATACTTCTGTAATTAGATTAATGTATCTATAAGAAATATTATATAAATATATTATTAGCGCGTTTTACTACTTAACTTAGTAATAGGTATAAGTTTTAGTATTTCTATTTATATATAGCTGCGCGCAAGCTGCGTATATACTCTATAGCTACCTAGATTATATAACGCTAAGCGCATTAGTTATAAATTAAGCAAGTTTAAGTAAAATATAATAATATTGCAATTATAACGTAATAGCTTTTTTTTAGCTACTACTAATCTTATTACCTACTAACTACTACTTTAAATTACTACTACTCTCTATAACACGTTATTAATAAGATAGCAACACGTTCTACTAAGATAGCTAATTATAGTTATCTACTTTCTCTAGGCTCTAGCGCTATAGTAAACTATATAAGCTTTTTTATACAAATATAACTAGAAGATATATCTAATATGTTTTAGCCTACCTATTACGCCTATCTTACTCTACCTACTCTACCTTTTCTGTACCTACTCTTTAAGAAGAACGCTAATAGTAAGATCTTAATTTAGTACGCTAAGTAGCGCTATAGACACGCTCTAGAGAATAGTACTCTCTATAGTGTAAGTTCTTAAAATATATCTTCTATATATTGCTAATATATTTAGGCTATTATAGGTTCTTATAGCTCTCTTATAATCTACTATATTAACTAGTATAGCTCTATTATCTAGAGTAATGCTTACTCTCTAGGTAGAAGGCCTAGCGCTGCCTTTATCTATAGTAAAAAGAGTACGTAAATATGTTATCTATATGTTTATAACATATACCTCTTCTCTTCTAAGTTTTTTTCTCTTTCTACTTTTTTCTTTTTTTTTATTCTTAAAGTTTTTCTCTTTCTTTTTTTACCTTTTTTCTTTATTAGCAAAACGTAATATAATTATAATTCTAATATATTTTAGAGTTCTATTAGATCTTAATAGATAACTATAACTTTAAGTATAACTACCTACTTAAATAAGTATAAGACAACGCCTTAGTTTAATAGAATATCTTAGCCTAGGTCTAGCACCTTATAAACCTAGTCTACTATTAAAATAGTTGTCTTTAAGAATAGGTAATATATTCTCTATATATTTACTACGCGTTTCTATACTTATAATTCTTAGCTTTATCTTACTACTATAAGAAGTATACTTAATACTTATATCTTCTTTAACCTCTATGCTAACTACTACGTTATTAGCTATAGTAAGCTTTCTTAAAATATATTTAATACGCTCTACTAATACGTTATAGCGTATAACTTTTAAGAGAATAAAGATAATAATAAGAATTTCTATCTCTTCTATACTTACTTTAACTAGGCTATAGGCCTCTAGAGTATCTCTACTAATACTTACACTAATATACTACTTTATAGTAATACGTTTATATTATATTTAGTACATAATTTAATTAGTAATAATAGAACTCTAATACTCTAATATATCTTCTTTACTTACTCTTTTCTATTTCTACTATAATGTCTTATAAACATATTATGTAGTATTTATACTAGTAAGCGCTAGCCTAAAAGAAGTCTTAGCAATAGTTAGGCTAGTTTTTTTAATAGTTAGATAAGCTGCGCTCTTCTCTAGATCTATTTGCTCTTAACACACATCTCTTAAACCACGAACAAAATACCTAATAATCGCATACGGAATCGCCCGTCAAGAAAAAACGTCTATCTCGCCGCCTCCCCTCTATACAGCAGAAATGACAGTCCGTTCGTGACTATATTCGCGACCACGGTGGCAGCGAACAACGCTACGATACAGACACGTGCGCCCAGGCTCGTCTTTATAATGACAGACATGGCGATAGATGCCGAGATTCGAGAGGCTTTACCGCTCATTGTGTTCATAGCGCATGAACTTACGTGGAAGCAGGAATAAGTCTTCGTCAACGATCGCGTTCCGCATATATCTTCTTTCCAGCAATATACGCGATATTACCCGGGCAAAAACGATTTTGAACTACATTTTTGCTACCTGCTATACTACATACGAGCTTCAGTGGTTTCCTCTCTCCTCTTTATGCCCTTACTGCCCGAGTAAGATCGCGCAACCTCCTACCATGCGCGCATCTTGTTAACTTTCTTCTCGCATCCTGCCTTTCTTGTTGGAAGCTACGTTTACGCAATTTACGCCCTTTCAGTATCGTCGCGCTCGTTGGGTTTGACGGTTGCAATGGTTGCATTGGTCGCATTGGTTTTGTCGGGTTCGTCAGGTTCGTCGGAATACTTCTCTGGCACCCAGTAAGGTCTGTACCGGCGATACCGATCATGCAGATTGATTGGAGCGCGTGGCTGAGACGGCGACGTGGTGCGGTTCGAGACTGGATCAGCCGAACAGCATAACACGACTAGAACAATCACCACGATAACTGCGAGTTTGGCGTAGCGCGTTCGTAAGAGGGCCCGTAAGAATCCCCGAAGACGGCCAGATGACGTATACGCCCACCAACCCCCGGCTATAGCTACGGCCGAGCCTATGGCGGCCTTGCTCCCGACATTCTCAATTATGGATGCCAACATGCTAGACAGATATCTGCGAAGTCCTATTGGCTGGCTTCTTTTATTGACGAAAGTTGTTATTTTTTAGGGGAGTTGAAAGAAGAAGTGGAAGTATGGCCGGGAAGAATGCGACTTTCAGGCGATGAATATGGGGTCGTGAACAAAGAGAAGTTTGCTGGCGTTTATGATGCTTGCTCGGACACACAAGTGAACGTTTCGAGGACGTCGAGAACATTCTCCACGGTACCGAAATAATGCCTCAGGGTCCCGGGGAGGAAAGATATCTTCGCCTCTAGGTGCCACGACTTGGTATTTTGAGTACTTCAGCACTGCCGACGGTCTTCTCGCCCCTCCGTCTTTTCGCTCCCTCGCAGACATACCCCTCATGCCCTTATAACATCGCCCAAGAATTCTCTCCGCGCACTTTGATCGCCGACCCTCAATCACATTGGCCATCATCGCTGCCGCTGTCACTGATGATGCTTGCACTTAGCTGCGCTGGGGCGTGTTCGACGAATGCGGGAAACTGCGAATCACCCACCCGCTTCGGGAAGTCGAGGAAGCTCCCAAAGATCTCCCAGAGGAGATCATGCATCAGCGCATCAGCACCTGACTGTTTCGCTAGTTCCGGTAATCCCAGTTTCCGCAGATGACGGAAGGCCACCTCGCTCGATTTGATACCATCGACTGCTTGCTCGCCACCCTTCGTCATCGTCTTGAGCTGCGTGTGGTGTAATACCGATCCCAGATGCACAATGCTTCCAAGGCCAAGGTGCACACCGATGAACTCGTACTTTCTCCCATGATCTTGCCAACCGCGTAACTTCTCTTCGAAAACAGCCGGCGTCATACCACCAGGCACATAACCGCCACAATGGGAGAACAAGCGTCGTACCGCAGAGGGACAGAACTTCCCCCTTACTTGACCAGCGTTACCCTTCGCTACCCAGTTGGCAGGGTCCATCGTAGAGGCTATGTGGAAAAAGATGGCGTATACCACATATTGGACGCTGGTCAGCGCAGTAACACGCTCTGTAGCGAGCATATTGCCAACATGCGCGGCGTAGACGTCCATAAAGGTAGTACCTTTGTTTCGCTTACCCAGAGCGCCGGTGTCTCGCAGGACGCCTAGACCCATGTTCACAACAGTTACTTGCTCGGAGTCGAGTGCGATGTCTTCGCGCGTCAGCTTCGACCACCTTCTCCACCATTCAATTGACTTCTTGTCTCTCTTCTTTGAAGGTCGGGACGTAACGTCATCATTGCTGCCACGCTTTCGCTTTGGTCCTTGGTCGCACGTTGGAAGCACGAATGGCATCAAGGCTGTCACGATCTGGACCGTGTGTGGGTTCCACTCGTCGTTCGACTCGAGATGTTTGAGATTGAACACGTCCTAGGTGGATCAGCGGGTATCATTCACTGCAAGACATGCAGACTTACATCCAGAGCGAACATTTCGAAGAATTGCTCAACTCTGATTTTAACACCACTTGGAGTGTTATCGAGTAGAAATGAAGTGGCTTGGTCGTCCACATCCGGGTTGTTAGACGGCATTCTTCGGCAAATAGCCATGCTCAAGTCTTCGACCGTGGAGCTGAGATTTAGCTCCATGAGGTCATTCGGGTATATTTGTTGATCGTTAGATAGCGTGTTCTGCACGTCTTCTCCTGATTGGTGGCAATGTTCGAATGGTGATATGATGGGGCCACCACAGCCGGCTATGCTTGTATCCGCGTTCGTGGAGTATCCAGTTCTGTCAAGATCGGAAAGGAAGGACTGGTCGCCTGTGGACGATGATTCGCCAGAAGCTAGTTCCACTAGTTGTGAGAAGGTGTCGAGAACCCCATGTTCATTCATAAAGCTGTGAACTTCGGCCGTGTCCTTCGGAGTGATGATGTCAAACGGTGCACCCATAGTCGGATCCGCTTCCAAGTCGTTCGAGGTATGCGGGTTGCAGCCTATCGAATTCTTTCCCATCCCTTCCATTATTCCATTGGGGCATTCAGTCATCGTGAATGTCGTGTGGGCAGATAGAGGATGTTGAGATAAGGTGGTGAAGGCTGTACAAAGATGGGCAGCTCCGGATGGAAGAAGAGCTGGACGGGCTTTGGTGACGGAGGAAGGCATTCCATGGACGCAACTCCTGAAGAGCCATCTCGTGGAACAGCTGGCGCAAGACATGAAGCCGATTTCGCTGCGGCCTGGAATCCGTGGAAACGCTTTTGTGGACGAGGTTTGTGATGGGGTGCGTGATCAAAGCTGGGACATGGTCTGCCGGACCGTCTTGCGAACCATGATCTTTGTCATACCGTCAACAGGAAGCGGGTGATCAGGAAATTTGCGTCGCTGCGCAGCAAATCCGAGACATTGCGTATATATCGGCTGCGATGGATCTGTTCACGCAACGGAAGAAAGACGAGTCACGTGGCGATATGCGTGCATCTGTGAAGGTTGTGTGCTGTGGTGAGACAGAGCGCGCTTGGGCCTCGACTCATATCAGATACATTCGTTTCCTGCGAGGATGACGCAGGTTTGTACAGCCCTTTTCAAGTCCTACAAATCTTCTAGATGTACGCGCTTTGCGCATTCGCGTACAAGGTTCACTTCTCCTGACCAGCGATGGAGAGCACACGACAATTACGTCCTAAGGACTGCGTTATCCCATTCGGTCCCTACAAGAACCAAACGCTGGACCAGATCTATCAATCCGACTCAAACTACATTCGCCAGCTCATGAACACTGTGGACGATCTTCGACCGTGGCCCGAACTTCATCGGATTATATCAGGGATCAAAGTTCGGCAGCATGATAACGACAAAGAAAACACCAAGCGTCAATCACCCCAAACACGATCGGCTCTCGAAGACATTCATACCGTAGTGGCTGGATCATCATGTCTGCCCAAGAGTATACTTCGCCCCTCTGTTCGCACGCCAACATCATGTATTGCTACTGCTCCTGAGATCAACGCGCGGTCCAACGAAACAGTTCATCCGTACAAGATTGCTCAGCAAGAACAACGCCAATCGAGCTCTCGTATAACCCAAAGGCGCAACACACCCACACAAGCCAGCACTTCGAAATGTTCTGTGACCAAGCCATCGTCCGCCACTGTCACTATCGACCCAGAGCGGGCCGGATCGAAATGCCCCGAATGTCCAGAAATGGTCAACCAAAAGGGTCCATATTCGTCGGTCACCGCATCTCTGGCCGTTCCTGGTGCGTTTCCAACAATGGACGATGACTTCCCGCATGGAAGAGACGCGCAAAAGAAGTCAATTCCAAGCCAGGCGACGTCAGGTCCTTCCCACGTTACGAAGCAGCCAAAATTCGCCCGTTCTTCGTCTGCCTGGTCTTCCATGGAGGAGCGGGTCAGATCACCGAAAGGTAGCGCCAAGTCGACCGACCATCCGATTACCGAAGAACACTGTGATTCGACGCTGTCTAGGCCTTCACAGACATCCGATGCTGATCCTCACATTGGAATTGACGACTACAATACTCGACGAACAAAGGCGCAGTCAGTCGACAGAGCTGACCCTATGCAGTCATGCGACGTTAACGTTACTGGCCAACCCAGTCGGCAAGAAGCTGAAGATGTCAACGTTATCACCCGAGAGCCAACGGTAGCACCTGTAGGCCTGCGACGAGCAAGACATGACACTCACGAGGTGGAACCGAGAAAGAAACGTCGAATGACCAGCTTGGAAGCCGTCGAAGACATTCACAGCCATGTTAGTAATTTGCAGATGCAGCTTCAGTCTACCGGTGGCTGGTTGTTCCAAAAGACAGACGACTCAGTCACGCGCGCTGCATCAAAATTGGAGACTAAAGTCGAAACGGCAACCACCGAGATCCATGGCCAGATACGCGACTTCCAATCCCAGATCAGCACGCAGGTTCGAGAGAACTGTGCGTGGTTACGTGATCAAGTCGTGCCAGCTAACCAGAATCTCACCAGTCTGTATGCACACATCTCGACCCAGTCCCAGAACCAATCGGATGTACGCATGGCGCAGACCAACAAACTCGACACTTCGATCAAGGCGGCAAGTGGCCATATCCAGTCGCGGTTACGAAAGAACCAGAAGCGTCAGAACGTTCAGTTCATGGATGTAAGATCTCGCCTGAAAGGACTACGGGGTGAGCTGCAAAGAGTCGAAGCAACCATTCAGCATCAAGGAAGCCAAATTCAGGCCGGCCTTTTGTCCAACTCATCCATGTTGGCACAAGAACTGAGGCTGGTTCAGAAAGGCCAGGAAACCTCGACACAACAACTGCAAGACATCCACGACAGATCTCTGCCCACCGTATCTAGTCTAGGAGTCAATCCAAGTACCATGATGACCATGATACAGGGTATCTACGGCCAGCTAAACCCTGGCTCGGCTCTTGGAGATCCGCCGGCAGATGAACGCACCCTCTACCAGACCCTTAGCACGATCGAAAAGACAGTGGAGAGACTCGAAACTTATTGGATACCAACCTCGGAAGATGCCGCTGAGCAAGCATCAGGACTGGCTCGAAGTGAGGTATCCGACAAGATCTTGACAATGGTGGAGCAGATTCACAGTCAGTTGGCCAGGGGCGACAGCCTTGTTGAAGAATCGAATGTCATGACTAGGGATGCGCCAAAAGCTCAGCTTACTCCGTCTACTGGTGCTCAGTCTCTCTCACCAGAAGTTGTCCGAATGATGGAAGAACATCATATGGCTGTGCTCGAGCGGTTTGAGCTTCTCGGGCAGCAAGTAGCTTTCACCCGCCCCGAGTCTAGTCAGAGTGGCGTCGAAGAGATCGATTTTCTTTTCGTCCAGATCGAAGATGCTCGTCGTGTTGAGAGCCAGATTGAACTTCACATCATCGGAGACCTAGAAGCCCAGCTAGCCCACGAACGGGCCGTCAACACGAAGTATCTGGTCAACGCAGTAGTCCAACGTGGTCGCAACAGGATCTCCTTAGTTGATGTAGCGCCAGCGGAGCGGTTTCGTGAAGATGATGGCTCATGGCTTCGCCCGTGGGAAGCAATTTCCGGGGTAATGGCGGAAGCTGACGCTCTCTTTGCCGAATCTGATCGACGGCACCTGGCACATGAGCTTCACTGTGAAAGACGCCGCAATACCTTGAGAGAAACGCGGTTGCAATTCATGCCCAAGCGGATCGATACAGCCATCGAGTGGGATCTTGAACTCGTCGAGTCGCAAGCCGACTATATCCAGCTTCTTACGAATCATGCCCCTATTTGCCCCGCAGACGATACTTCGCTAGCAATACCTGTCGATGGTTTGGGGCATACCCTTCCATCCGCGCTTCGTGCAGGCGCCCTTGGGCGAGATCTTCCTTCCGCGCTGGACCTTGCTACTGATCTCTTCACGTTGAAAGCTCAGAACGCTGTGCGGACAGCAGCAGAGAAGGTTCACGAAGAAGACTCTGCACGTCTTTTCAAAGGTCTCGAGGGTATGCGGAAGTATCTATGCATGCTTCATGGGCGAAGTGATCTGGTATTGGTGAAGAGAGCGATAGAGAATTTGCAAGTGGGGAGGGAGTGGAACAGCGACAATTTGATGGGGGTGCTGAGCCTCGAGGGCACTGTTGACACGTGATAGATTGAGTGAGAGTCTTAGAAAGTCCTGATCATAGCTACGAGTTTTGTCTAGAATGTCAAGTATCTTTTTCGCCGTACGACGAAACGCCATTCAACCCCCAAAAGCTCTTGATATCATGTGAGTAGCTCATGTATTGCGGGCAATTTCAGTAGACCCAGCACAAACTTCATTGCATTATTGTATTTTGATGCGTCCAGATTAAGGTACATGAATGCGAGCATGACGCGAGGCATATCCATGAGAGGTCGGTGTTGCACACAGTCCTGTCATGTCATTCTCCTCGTGGTTCTTTCGTGCACACACCTGAGGAGCGACGTCGCACACATATGTCCGCATCCTGCAATGCTTATCCAGTGCTATATAAACAGGCTCGCTCCAGCCCAGCTAAGTTTCGCAGTCTCCTCATTGAACTGCAACGTTCACCTCCTCTGAGCGACCCTCATGGCTACTCACCATTGCCGTGGAACTTGCAAGAACGGAACACCATGCGGTAACCATGCAACGCGGGTTGCTGGCATGGAAGATATCGGCTCGTCAAAGGCGATGGACACAACCCCAAACCGTTGCGCAAAGCATGTCGACCAAAAGAACGACTACAGGACCCCGACCAAAAAGCCATCACCAACAAGTGTCAAGAAGCCCATCGCAGCATCAACCTCATCGAGCTTCATGCCGTCTTCCTCTGGCAAAAAGAAGAAGGCGACAATCGAGCAGAAGAGACGCAAACCATCGACAAGTACCTCCATCATCAGCGACACCAGCAGCGACGATGAACTAGCCTTCGAAGCCGTGGATACGCCAAAACCCAAGGGAATCATGAAGCGTTCTACACCAAAGCCAGAGAAGGATACCATCAAGCCCAACGAATCTGTCATGACTAGACGCCTCGCCTCCAAGCGCCCCGTAGTGCTTGATTCTGGAGATGAAGACGAGGTCACACCTCAGCCTTCGTCGCGCAAACGAGTCCAGTTCCCAAGTCCAACCCCATCCCGGTATGGCACCGTCTCCCACCGGCTCAAAGCTGTTGTCGATGACACTGCTCATACCGCTAAACCGAACGCAATCCGAGAAGCCCTTGCTACCACGCCTTCAAAGGTTGCGAAGCCCACCACCGTCGCATCTTCCTCAACCAAAGGCAAGAAGCCGACAAACCAAGCCATCAGCAACGCACTCCAGAAATCTTTCCCTCCGCCTTCGAATGATGGCAAGAAGGGTAGCCCACCAGCTGCTCCATCCTCCCGACCTCCAACTCCTACGACAAAACCCGGTAAGCAGTCCGCCGCCAAGAAACCAGCCAGCAAGACTGTGAGCCGAGTACGGAGCCCGGAGATGGGAGAATCTTCGTCGCATCCGATCCCATCAACCGAAAGAACCAGCATCTCGCCTCCAACCCGTCCACGTACCGCCGCCACCCCTACCCGAAAGTCACCCCGTACGCGCTACATTCAGCCCGAACTCCGGGTTCTCGATGGAGCACCAGTTCCTCTTCTTCCCAATGACCCTACTCTCGCTGCGCAAATGGAAAGTGTGCGTCGATCCGGTCTTCAGAACGCCGAGGATATACGTGAGTTGCTGCTCCGAGTTGAGGTATTGGAGAAGGCGCTGGAGATGGTGGCTGGAGTGGACAAGCCGAAGCATCAGAAGCGTGAGCAGATACAGAAGGAGAAAGGTAAAGAGAAGAACATTGAGGATGAATTCATCTTCACTTGATGTCGCCATGGTGGTGGAAGAGACGGGAATGGGGAGGTCAGAGTGAGAAGATGCGGTTGCTGGTGTGAAGTGGAATAGAGCGTCTGGGATAGGTTGGGAAATGATGTATTGCTCGAAGGATGGAGGCGATCTTGGGTATATGAATTGGATAGCGCAGTAGATAGGATGAAAGATCAAAAGTTGGACTTGACGTCAATCTTGTATACCAACGTACTCTCGCGGAGCATTAGCGATGGACCACAGCAGCATACTCATACATACCATATTTTAAAGAAGATCCATCCGTCTTTCGCTCAGCCTCATAGCTCATTGCCATTGCCGGCCCCTCCATCTCCTTCAACTTTCTCATCTTGGTGATCTGCCATGTCCTCGACCTCTCTATTCACCAGCCCTATTCTCGCATCCATCCCACGACCCCACCGCCCGACCCAGCGTCCAAAATCTTCAGCCACCTCACTAACAATCTGGCCTGGGGTCGGGTCCTTAGGTGCAGGGTTGCCTAAGCCAACGACATCGTTTATCCAGGCATTGAGGTTGGTGAAAGAGCGGTCAACAGGGCCCAAGGCACGTTCGGCGCGAGCGGTCCAGTTCTCTTGGTCTAGCGCGATGACGGCGTCTTGCTGCTGGCGTGACGGTGATGGCGGTGATGATTTTGGTGGAGACGGTGATGGCGGCGGTGATTTTGGTGGAGACGGTGATGGTGGTTTGGGGATTGCACCCGTAGGCGGGTCGTTGTAGTGCTGACGTTTGGTGGTGCGGTCTTCCAATCCTGCTTGTGGTTGCTTGCGCTTTTTGCCATGACTTGGGTGCGGGGATGACGTTGGAGCAGCGTCTTGCTCCGTGTCGTCATTGCTTACTTCTCCGTCTTCAGCTGAGTATGTTGCCGCCCCCACTTCGTCCTCGCTCTTATGATCCGACCCGGCATCTTCATTCGCATCGAGGAATTCATCGTCATTATCGTCCGGATCCTCCTCCTCCTCCTCCTCTTCCGCTCCAATCAACCCACTCGCCCCTACCTGGGCTTTTCGCTCATCGTGAGCGACCAAAAGAATCGCTCGATCGACCTTCTTGGAGGGCATTGGTGTAGGCTTCAGGTTGCGCCTGTTGATCTCTCGTCGTAAGTTGTCGGACGTCCATGCCATGTACGCTTCCATGTTCGCAGACGCGGGGATTATCCAATATCGGGAAACGTCGAAGTGTAAGTGGGAAGGCATCGAGCTTTGTTATATGTCGAGCTTGCGCTTGCTCAAGCGGGTTTGCTGTCCTTTGTTTAGGTCACGTCGAGGACCCTGTCACATGCTGGAAACATGAATGAGTCGAAGACCGTGGTGCTGGATGACTGCTACATGTGTCCGAAAATGATGAGATATATCGGACAACAACTTCCATTGTGTGTCATGTTTGAGATACGTACAGTAATGCTCGACGACATGAGACAGATATTGCCCACGGCAAGTCACATGTCGCCATACACCCATCCTTCGACATTCGACAAGCAAGAACCGAGGACACGCTAGTCCCGGAGATTTGAAAGGGTCTCAAGTCGGTAGCATGGGCACGTGTATCAGGCCTCATGGCAGAACGTCGTTGCCAGTATCGATATGGGGCTTCATGTCGGCAGACCCAATGCTGACGCCTTGACGAACCTGCTTGCCGACCTTCCATATCCATTGCTTCTTGTCCTCTGCATCCATATCTTTGGTGTGCGCCGGAAGTGTGTTGGTCCATGCCTGGGGGTTGACCGCTGCCAAGTAATGATCTAGATCGTGCTTCGACATGCTGAGTACGTCTTGCTCTCCCTTCAGAGCTTCAAATAACTGTTTCATCCAAGTTATCTGAGGCTTCTCTTTGTAGTAGTCGGTAGCGTCACATGATGCTGCAAAGATCTCGTGGCACACTTCCGACGGCAGTGCTTTTGTCCAAGCTTCGTACGCTTCGAAGATTGCGTTGCCAAGTGAATCGTTGAGAGGGCGAATACCGGAAGCGAGACTAGAGGCGACATTATCGTGATAGATCCGTGCAGCGTACCGGACGGTCTTGTGGAGATGATCCAACACGACCTGATCTTGGTGGGTGTTATGTACGTCAGGTGATAGGAATGTGGACATGTTGTGGTTCTTCCAGATCTTCCATGAGCGGTATGGGCGGCAAATCCTGGAGCAAGTATCAGACATAGCAGCAGCGGTTGTAGTCTGGAGGCGATGAAACTGTGCGGTGTGGTGGAGAGTCAGGTCGTGTAGTGACAAAGCGCGGGAGTTGATAAGCCCAAGACGCCTGTCGATAGCTTTGGCACCAAAGGCTGGACCATCTGAGCGCAGCTCAATGGACAGTCGGACTGTCAGAGGCGGGATGTGGCTGCTCCGTATATTGAGCATTGTGAAACTCGCAGGATCGGTGCATTCATCGCTAGGGAGAGATACGTCGGGGCATGCGATGAGAGGGCAAGTACAAGACGGCTTGCCTATTGACCAGATGGGCTGTGCAAGGACCGCAAGGACCACGCCCAAGAGGCAGATGAGCAAGACGAGGACCCTGCTGCACCATCCGGTCGAGCGACGTCGCGAAAAGTTTGGCGTCTTGCCCCTGACCCTGTGTATCTATTAGCCCCCATTCCCGAGTCGTAGTCGTCTCTATTTACGTGTGACTCTCGCGTGGGCGTAGACCTGTGTCCATGATCGATGTTTCGTGCGACGCGTTGGCTGTACTTGATTGGCGCGGCTGCACTTGTTCGGGCAGTCGAGATCGAGGAAGGTCGAAACGTGATGGAACAAAGGGAAGGACGAAGATTAAAGAGCTTTGGGTTTTGGGGTGTCGGCATAAAGCTTTTCTTTGTGTAACGTTCCGAGGTTTGTTTGCTCTCTCAACCCCACGCGAACTTTGGCAACCATCGACCGTTGTTACATTGGCGTGAGGAGCGAGCTTCTGAACTTGTCGAGTCGGAAGACATTTATCGAGCGATCTTTTGAGATGGCGCATCGAACGTCGAGTAGAGCCTGGGTGACAGTTGTCACGCGAGATGAGGCTGGCAAGGTGATGAGCGAAACGCGACGATTCATGAGGCTCAGCAACGGTGCGTCTGGCTCCATACCCCCGTCTAATTTCGGATCAAACGAGTACTGACTTCTCCGTTCCAGTGGAGCGCTTCTGCTTGGACAGCATCGTACACCGCGCAAATGCTCCAGCTGCTCGGCCATCCTCCAAATCCCGCCGCCGCACGAGAAGCGAGCCAAGCTTACCCTCTCGAGATATTCACGAAGCCACACGCAGTGTATCGGGCGCGAGGCCTTCGGAGGAGCGGCGCAGACATAAGCTGGGAAGGCGGATAAAAAATGTGGTCAAACGCCACGGGCGGAAGGTGGCAGCAGCAGCAGCTGTGGTCGGCGGCGTCGGCTGCATCGGCTGCATCGGCTGGGGTCTTTACTCCTGCTTGACTGCTGCACAGCCCGCGATAGCACCCATCGCAAAGAACGCCTACACTCTGCTGAGCATGCCGGAGCCTCTTGACGACCGATGGGTTCCTCCGCTGGTGCAGGTACGTAAGTACTGGCGAGAAGCAAACCGCTCGTGGAACGAGCGGATGTGGCAGGCACGCGGACTGCCGGACGCAGAGACAGGCCTGCGGGTATGGGAGCTCATGCGAGAGGCTTTCGAGCGCTTCGAGTCGTATTGGGAGGACCCCAAATCAAGAAGGGAAAAATATGGGCAGGCAGGCGGTACGCTGCACTCTGTCCTTGCGCGAGACCCGACATATAAAAAAGCAAGAGCGCTGTTGGCGGATACCTGTGTCGGAAAGAGGACTCTGCTGCAGGCGTTGACCAACGACGCCTCCAGAGCCTGGAGCGCTGCCTTGGGAAAGACAGCGGGGTCACAAGACACTACTCTTGCGGCACTGCAGGAGGCATGCCCCTGGACCTTGCGAATGTACCTGCAGCCGTATGCTCCGTCGCGCATCCCGCCTGCCTGCGTAGACCGATACTATGGCAAGATTTCGAACATCAAAGGGATGGACAAGACTCCACCAGGGATTCCGTTACGATTTCTCCGCGCGCTGGGCCGGCAATATGACTACCCTTGGTGGATATTGCCTGATTATTACTGGCTGATCAATTGGTGGGGGAGAATGTTCCCGGAACCGAGATGGTGGGCAGACGAGAAGGTCGAAGCCTTGGGCGAGTTTGGCAAGGGCTGGGTTGTGCATACCGACATTCAGCCCTGGGCAACTTTCGGCCGAGAAGAGAACCTAGGTCAAACAAGGATGCGGTTGTAGAGGGGTGGCTGAGGCTGAGGTCGCGGCTGGTTCGTACAAACTGACGAGATCGAGTCCGTATGCCAGTCCGCATAGAGACTCGATAGCTTGGCGCTCACGTGCGGTCGGATCTCGGCTCACCGAAGCTCCGACGTTGCCGCCGCAAGGTAGGCGCGCACCTTCATGTGAAATACGGTAATACCTCAGATAAGCCTTTTGCACTCGCAATGTCGTCGCATCCGAAGCATGCTGCTCTTTGTCGTGCACCTATTTTTGGTGCCAGCCCTGATAACATCGTTTCTTGCCCGCACGTCTCCGAAGAGGCCCATCGACCCGCTGATACGTGACAACAACTAACGTGCGAACTCACCCACCATCTGCGAACGGACAGGGCTTCGTTCAGTTTCTGATCGAAGACGCGACGCCGGCTAATACAAGCACTCGAGCGGGCTCGCGACCCGTCCATCGACTCAGAAGCCATAATGACACTACCCATGCACCCGACAGTCATCCCACGCCAACCGACGTGCTATCGCGAGTATGATACCGGCCACAAGCTGTCTCGGCAAGCAGTACTCTGCCGCAGTCTGAAGGAGCCCTCCAAAAGCAACTGCAGACGTTCAACGCGCGCAATGACGGCATCGCGCGTCTCAAGACTTACGATGCCTGTTGACGCGTGTCACCACGCGGCCTGATCATGTTCATGGTCAAGACATACACCCAGTTTGTCACTACGATGATTAGGCTGAGCTTGACGACCCCGGTTGATAGGTGGAGAGCGATCAGACTGTGTCTTCTGCATGCCGTGGAAAGCGTTCTGGATCAGATGGCTTGCCCAGACAACACTCGAGCGCTGCATGCCGCTGTGTCGGTCTCATGGCATGGTATGTCGTCTCGTTCTCTCTAGGCGCATTCTTCATTAACATCGTCTCAGCATCCACTCCATTCTCACTTGCTCGTACCGCCTCCGAGGTCGCGCATCGTCCCCCGTGCACACGCTCATCGACAGCTACCTCTCGAACGATCTATCATCCGCAAAACCCCGCCCGCAGGCGACCTCGAAGAGACCCCGCTCCACACCAGCCAACCGTGAAGGCCGCGGAGGATACAAGCTGCATATGGGTGGAGGTGGGGTATAAACAGGGAAGCTCGGTGGGCACTGGATTGCCTTGTGCCGCAGAAACTCTCCCGCCACACCAAAATGGGGGTTGCTTTGTTTGGGCTCCCGGGCGAAACTCAATTTCTTAGAGGACAACGCCTGAATCGGCTGGCGGGCGTGCGTCGTCACCACCTGCGCATCCTCACCCAGGCAGGATTCGTAGTCCGCGCGCAAGCGAGCTGCAGAACAGCGGCGCTTGACCAACAAGCCTAGTTACTCGCACTTTTGGAGAGGGTGCCAGTGCTACCGCGACAGAGCCTGCCGCGTGACTGTGCCCTGGCGTGCCGTGCCGTGCCGGCGTCTGCGGAAGGCGCCACGCTGGACGATCCCCGCTTGGTTGGCGGCCCACGCCCCAGCCTCATTGTGCAAGAAACCTTAATTCCACAACCCCAGCAACAAAATCGTCGCTCCTACAGCTGACCCACTAATCATTGGCGACCTGGAGGCTGCGCACTGCCGCATGAAGAGAGGACAATCTAGCTTGAGCTAGCTTCGGCGCCATTCCGGCTTCAACTCGCGACTTCCAAGGTCACATTGGGTAGCTCACTCCACGAACCCTGCGCGTCTACAACTGTGCCGTAGCCTTACCTTCATGAGAGGGTTCACAAATGACTCTTGCGACTTAACACGTCAGCACTACTAAGTAGACATTCGTGCTAGCTGTTCTACCTGTGCTCAATGCAGGCCGCTGGCTACCAGATGCCCACGTACTCTGCATACTTTCCTCACATCTACTTGATGTTCATTGT